GGAGAAAAAAAAAAAAAAAAGTCAAGTCAGGAGAGGCCTCAAGCCTAAATTTATCTATGTGTAACCAAGACTCTTGTGACACATAAGTTTGGAGTCTGGACACTCCTTATCCCTCAAGTCTGGACACTATTAGGGAGAACAAAAAGGTCTCGTTCCACTCAGGACAAGCTCCCTGGCCCGCTTTTCGCTGTCAATGTTAAGTATAAAATTACATTCGAGCATTAGAAACGTAAGAAAAAAAAAAAAATGGAAAACTGCAATGTAACACGCATGAAGCACAGGTTTATTAGTTATTCGTCTCTGCTGGCATTTAGAATGCCTAAGCATCGAAACTAGTTCAGATAATCAGATAGATGGATAATTTACAGCCACAAAACAACTCTTAATATTTATGTATAAAAACTCAAGTATCTTTCTAAATTGCTACATATATCCCTTTTAACGTACTACATTAGTCCCTGCATACCCAGGTGTGCAACTTGTAACCTAGGAACAAATATCATGTGTCTTTTAACATTATAGTACAGTTGTATTCTGTAATTCGATCAACTCGTGATGCAAATGTTCTTAAATTAATCAATTACACATTTAGATTTAGATACATGAAAAAAAAGAAATGTATGAGCTGAATGAAAAATGAACCTGCTGCGACACTACTTTTCTTCTCCTGAGTTCGGCATGAGAGAATAGCATAGGGATCAGCGGCCAGCTGAGCATACAGAAGAGCATTAAAACATAATTAATGTACACAAACAATATGTTAGATCAAATAACATTTTCAAGACTCATTCAGCAGAGAAAAACACATTCTTAAAATGATTCGCAAAGAAATCATAGGTGGACTATCCAAATTTGAAAGAATGACGCTTTAGTATACTTAGACCACATGCGAGTGTTCACACTAGGGGCGGTACCGTAATTACTTGGTTTGTTGCGTTCACACTTAAAGAGTTGGTTAATTACGGTACCGCCCCTAGTGTGAACACTCGCAGTATATAAGCAGCCTCGTCCTACTTGAATTGGTTTATATACTGCGAGTGTTCACACTAGGGGCGGTACCGTAATTACTTAGTTTATTGCGTTCACACTTAAAGAGTTGGTTAATTACGGTACCGCTCCTAGTGTGAACACTCGCAGTATATAAGCAGCCTCGTCCTGCTTGAATTAGGGGATTAAGTTGATCCATCATCTTATTACACTAAAGGGAAGCAAATTCAAATTCTTTTTTCCAACTGGCAATAACTGGTGAAAGAATGACCCAATAATGTGAGTCAAATAGTATGCGAAAGCAGTCCATGGATTTCATTATAGTCAATAGTCAATTTTTAGATGTAATGTAATTACATTATTTAATACACACCACCATATCCTAAAATGAACAGGCTATAATTCAACATCAATTTTGTCAAATTTTATGTCATTTCACATAATATTGTGAAATAAAGACGTGATTCCCGCTATTTTTGTTAAAAAAAACAGTAAAAACAACATTATGAACTGGAAAATTTATACGAGTATACGAACTCAAATGAAATATATAAAAACACCAAAAATAATAACAAAAGCATGCCAAACAAAAGTCTTAACCAATTTTCTAGTCCGTATACAACACTAAAAGTGTATACAATTAAAAATCTCAAAAAAATTTATAAGATGTTGTCCGGACGTCAACTACAATTAATAAGGCAGTTTTCAGGGTTTACACGTAATTAAAAAGTAATGGAATAATCGTTTAAGCGATACTAAATTAAAGCAATGAAATCGAGATATGAAGCCAAAGGGCTTGGGAGAAAAGAATGTCGATTCCTTGGTTCAGGAGATCGACAAAAAAAGGAAAACAGAGACCTTGTAAGAGCATTCATATTTGGGAT